TATATATCTCCTCAATATATGTTCCATTCTATATGCATCCGAAGAAGTGGGCTGTAGTCCACGAAAGCTTATGCTCTAATAAATTTGTTAGTCTCTAAGGTGCCACAAGTACTCCTGTTCTTCTTTTTGCGGATACAGACTAACACGGCTGCTACTCTGAAACCTTCTCTGAGACTGGCCCAATCCACTCACTGGAGGTGCTCAGACATGAAGCTGTCTAGGGTGGTGCGTTGAGGGTGAGGCAAAGCCGTGCCTTCACCACTGCTCCACGGCAATGAGTGGAGTTGGGTAGTGGCAGAGAGGGACATGCTCTCAGTGACACCAGTACCCGACTGGTTCCAGCTGGGGTGTTCACCAGTGTAAGTGAGAAGAGAACCCACCCCTTTGTGCATGCACTTTTGGGAAGATCCACGCAGTCTAAAAACCTCCCCTGGATAGTTAACTCACAACGTTCCCCTCTGCTCTTTAGTACGTTCCCTCTTGGCCCAGGATCTCCTGCCATTACAGTGGAGCCTAAAAGCACAAAAGATTCTGAATTAATATTTTATTATTTTACCTCTTTGCCCTGGTGTTCCTGGCTCCCCAGGGAGCCCTGGAGGACCACTTAATCCTACAGACACAAAAGACTCCAAGTTTATTATCCTGCATATGACAATAGGAAATTATTTGTTAGGGTTAAAATGGGGTGATGGGCCAGTTCCTACATGCCTCCCCCAAAGCCAGATTTCAAAATTAGTATTACATTTCTTCTCTGCCCTGGTCCTCAGATCCCCCACTGACCTTATTGGGGATTTTCCCGGAGCCAGGAATGCAGGATCAAGCCCCCTTTCTCAGCTCTTGCAAAACTGGCCAAATGGAAGGCCAATGACAAACGTTTTCAGTGCTGTCAGGTGGTTGGTTTGCAAACAGAAAGCCTTCAACCGGCCCCTGAGCATCCACTGCTAGTGTCTCCATCACAGGAAAGGAGCCATTTCAATTAGGGTGACCCTATGTCCCATTTTAGTCCTTTTTAAAAAAGTTAAATTAAAGGAGACATCCTACCTCTGGAAGGGACCTTGAAAGGTCATCAAGTGGAGCCCCCTGCCTTCACTAGCAGGACCAAATACTGATTTTGCCCCAAATGCCTAAGGGGCCCCCTCAAGAATTGAACTCATAACCCTGGGTTTAACAGGCCAATGCTCAAACCACTGAGCTATCCCTCCCCCCATACCCTGGCAAGCCCAACTTTTTTGACAAAACTGGGCAGTTATCCCGTTTGCTCTTGTCAACTGACCATCAGCTGGCAAGAGCAAACCGGAGAAATGAACGGCTTTGCCAAAAAAGTGGGGTGGGAGCCCTAGCAGGGCGCAGAGGAACGGGTGGGGGTGGCAATGCTGCCCTGCGCTGGAGGAAGACATAGGGAAAGCGTCTCAGACGGGTGCCCACGGCCGGCCCGCTACCCACCTGCCCCAAAAAAGTTGTGATGGCCAGGACAGGGCCTAAAAAAGGACGGTCCCTGACAAAATGGGACATATAGTGGCCTGCAGGGTGGGGGTCTGCGGCCAGCCCCAGGTGCAGGGGGGAAAGGGGGACCTCAGCCAGGCCCCTTGCGGGCGTAAGGCAGCGAGGGCTCGGGCCAGACCAAGCCAGGCCGGGGGTGTCCCATTTTCCCTTTGGGAAAATATGGCCCCCTAATTTCGGGTCCTGACCCCTCCTCCAGAGGGCAATTGCTGGAGTCCTTCTGCCACCCCCAGATGTGTGGAGGAGCAGAGCCAGCAGGATGTCTCAGTGCTGGTGATGGGGGAGAAGGGGGAGAGTCCAGGGAGCCTAGTGGAAAAGGTCACATGGAATCTTACTGGTTGAGGAAAGTGCCACGGTCCTGTGTGGAGAGGGGGGAGGGTGGCAGGAGGGGGGAAGTTAAAGGAGGGGGCAAAGATGGTGGAAAGGTGGCAGGGGCTGTTAGTGTGGGGTTGGATAAGAGGAGGGAAATCAAACTATTTGGCTGGAAAGAAGATAAAACTGAAGGAATAATGAGTGAATTTGTAGTGGAGGAATTCAGCCTGGTCACAGAGCTTCTGCCAGAGATGCTCAACGGCAAGAGAACTGGGGTGGAGGAGGAGGTGTTGGGGGGTAACCCTGGGCTGGGAGTTGGCAGGGTGAGCCTTGACATGGGAGAGGGGAGTCAAGGAGATGAGGGGCTGCACATGCTGGCCGCTTCCAGGCAACCCTAAGTGGGTGGAAGGAATCACTGCACAAGTCACTGGAGGGGAGGGAAGAAAAGGCCAGGGAAGGGGGCTGAGAGCAGAAGAGAATTTGTGGATACCGATGGATTGGAAGTCCCAGAAAGGTCAGGTGGGAGATGCTGAGGTGGTGATCAAGCAATGCAGAGACCAGAGAGGATGCAGTATGTGGAGAAGACCAGAGTGAGCGGCCATATTGGTGAGAGGGGAGCTGATCCGGGGCTGCAGGTCAGACAAGGAAGTCAGGGGGCCAGACACAACGACGTGGAAGATGACGTCACCGAAGATGAAGGCGGAGGATTGTGACATGTGGAAGAGCAAGGAGGTAAAGTGAGGAAGGAAGGTGGGTGACAGACCGCAGCAATATGGAGCAGGAGGGGAGGTGGTCAAGTGGAGCATTGTTCCAAGGAGGAGAAAGAACGAGAGGGAGGACTGAGGGTGAGAGGTGGTAGAGTTGGGACTGGCACAGACTAATGTCCCACCCATGTGTTTGCAGGAGGATTCAGGATGAGGGGGATGGAAGAGGAAAAGGCCACCACAAGGTGTCTGTAGAGGCAGAATGGGAGCCACAAACCCAGGTCTCTGTGAGAACCAGGAGACGGGAAGAGTGGGAGAGGAGACGCTCACAGTTGGCTGTGATGTTCTAGGATGGATTGAGCATTCCCAAGGCAGCAGGAAGGAGGCCAGGAACAGGTCTGAGGTGAAAGAGGGAGGCGGAGCTCGAGGGGGTGGCACAAAAGGTGCCAGAGAAAAGGATTGGGATTGAGGCAGGAGCAGGGCTGGGGCAGATGTCTCCAGAGACAGCAGCACGGCAGGAATTGGAGGTGAAATGTGGTTGTGACAGCAGTGACCCCCCACTGGCCATTCTAGTGACCCCAAGGGACTAATTCCCATCAACCCCCCAAACAATCTAACCGCCAATATTCCATTTCCCATCATCCCTGCCCCCGTATCCAATAGTGCACTAGCTTTTGTGACCTGCTCCGTACTTCACTGACATTCCCTATCCCCTCCCCCCCCACGCCCACATCACTATCAGGGCAGAGAAAAGGAAATGGACATGATTTCAGAACAGAAACATGATGAAGCCCAACTTCTCATCACAGGGGAAGAGATCTGTAGGGTGACCAGAGTGTTTCAGGCATCACCATCCAAAGCGGAGTCTCACTCTGCTCTAGGAACATACCTGGAAGTCCAGGATGTCCTCGTGGTCCAGGAATTCCACAGCACTTTGAATTCACTGCTGAGGAAAGAAATGAATCAATAAGTGACATTTCTTGAAGTCACAGGATCCCAAATATTTTGAAAATTCCAGTGGTAAATAAGCTCAGCAAATCGAGGCCAGCTAACACTAAGCTGTTGACCCTGGTGCAAACTCCATGTTGCACTGGTGCAAGACTTCTGCATTAGTGGCTTATCCTGTTGTTACCACACTGAGGTATTTACACTGGTGAGAATTTCCCTCTTGAAAACTGGTCCTCAGAACCTACAGATCGCTCTCACTGGCTCTCAATTAGATCAGGCTGAAAAACAAACACCACAATTTGTTCACCTGTTTGTGCCTCATCCTCACAAACCGCTGCTGCTAGACAGAATAAAGCGAGGAGGGTTTGCTGGGCAGCTCTCCCCATGACGCTGGTCTCTGCAACGGCAGCTCCACTAGACTTCTCCTCTTCTCTGCATTAGCCGTTCACCGCTTGCAGCCTTTTAGAGAGCAAATAAATAAATATTCATGAACTCTCTCCCCTCAACTCTCAGCTCCTCCCACCAATCTGCACCTTCCACTGGTTTCTGCTGTGTCTGCTCTCTGCCTGATTTCTCCACCATCTCCCTTCACAAGGTCTCATGTTGTATTTCTACAGTGTCAAACCACAGTCATTCCCTTCTTTAGTCTCCCTGGATTTCCTCTTTGAGAAAGTGTCTTCCCTCAAAGCAGCGATTCCCTGATGGGGGATTATTGATTACATTCTGCTCAGTAAAAAGTGAACTAATGTGCACTGATCCGGTGGTCCGGGCACTAAAAGCCCCCCAAAGGCAGCTGAGTAACAAATCCACTTTTCATACAGTTCATACATGCTCCCAAGTCAATGGGTCCAACGGAATTTAAAAACAAAACCACTTGGAATTACCTCGTTATGTTCTACCGCCATGTCAGATCTCAAGAGCAGGGGGCTGTAGAAATACTGTGGTCTAAGCCAGCGGGTCAGAAACCTTCAGGGGCCAGTGACTGTTGTATTAATTTAGATGGAATAAATGCCCCCCAAAAGTCAAAGGTGGCAGCATGACCGTGTCATTGTTCAGCATTAAACCACATTGGACAAGGTTTGAGGTTTGGTGTACAGAGACCTTAGTAGCATGACAAACGCACCATTAATTTTTTAACTCTTTATTAAAGATACAGAAAAGAAGGAAAAACAGTTAAAGCATCTGAAATGCAAAGTATTAAATTAGGCTTTCGTTTTACCAACATCCCTTGGTTTAAAACAAACAAGGAAGTATTTCTTCACACAACACACAGTCAACCTTTGAAACTCTTTGCCAGAGGATGCTGTGAAGGCCAGGACTATAACAGGGTTCAAAAAAGAACTAGATAAATTCATGGAGGATAGGTCCATTGGGGGCTATTAGCCAGGATGGGCAGGGATGGTGTCCCTAGCCTCTGTTTGCTAGAAGCTGGGAATGGGCGACAGGGGATGGATCACTTGATGGTTACCTATTCTGTTCATTCCCTCTGAGGCACCTGGCATTGGCCACTGTTGGAAGACAGATTACTGACCTAGATGGACCTTTGGTCTGACCCAGTATGGCCGTTCTTATGTCCTTGTTCTCTTTTTTCTGTAGCTGGAGAGCGGTTTTAAAAAGAAACCCCCCTTGTTTGACAGTTTTTAGACAGTATCAAAGATGTTAATAACTGTCCTTTTGGGGGAAAGGAAAGAAGGCAGCTGAGATGGGCTGGAGCTCTCCAATCCATTTTCTAGAAAACAAGTCAGGACAAACACCCTCGAAAGGAGAAAAGAACAGCAAAGACAGAAAATGCAGCTCTTGGCTCTGGCTTTGACTTTCATTTGTAACCTCCCTGCCAGAGACATAAAGGCCCAGAACATTGTCTTATTAGCCACAGGCTTGTACCATCATGGGGCTGTTTAGGGCATTGCTTTTAGCTGCCTCTGTCTGGTCACAGGTTTACAGTAATGTTTCAAAATATATACTCTTGGCCGGCTAAGCCAAACTCTTCTTAGACAGAAGGAAAAAGGAGAGGGCTAGGAAGAGAAGAAATAAGGTAGGAAAGGAAAAGAACACACAGGGGTAGGTGGGTGTATGTGTGTGTGAGAGAGAAAGAGTCTCACATCCCAGGTGCTCCACAGGATTTATCCAAAGCTGGTGAAGGTGGTGATATCATCTGGCTCCCTCTCTCTGTCATGGCCTGGTCAGGATGTCTCTCAGGATTAGGATGAAGAGGGTCTGGAGTCCCAGGAGATGTTAGAGGTGACAGCCAATGTAGTGAAGCTCACTCCTTCCCCTTCTTTTGTCTTTCCTCAGCCAGCGTTCACATCTGTCCATCCAAAGTCTCTTTCCGAGGATCCCAAAAGGGAGTGATGGGCAGATGTCCCTCAACTAGGCCTAGTTTCTGACACACCAGTTTTGGTTCATTGATTTCCAGCTCTACATGTCCCCCGTTTACCAGGTATAATTTTAACACAATCCTTGAATTATATTAGTAGCCCTTTCGGTTTAGTCTAATTTAGATTTTTTTGACTGCCTTTTGCACCATTTCCTATTAACATTTGTTGTTATAGATTATTATGACATTTTATGAACTTGTACTTACTTTTTTAAACTTGAGCTCATAATTTGGGTAAATTTGTCGGCCTGGTTATTACAAAATGCCCTTTAGTAACATGCTGTTATATAAGGGAACTTCCCCAAATACCAAACTACTTAGAAAATATGAAGTTTATCTCAAATCAAAAACCCAGATCTATTTAATTGTGTGTATGGGGGGACGGGAGAAGGGCGGTTGTTTGAAATGTAGAACAGAATTTTATACCTTGAGCCCATTTCTAAGTATTAATCAAATGCATTCGGGTGTTTCAAAGAGATGAATTCAGGGACCATATTATAAAATCTCCATCCAACCTGTGTTGAGGATTAGCCATAAAGAATGGTCCTTTCTTCCTTTGGATGGGACCTCCAAGTCATTGACAGAATGACTTTGGTTTGAAACCTGAGGAAGAGGCGACATTTTGGAGTTTTTTCAACTGCCTTTGTATTAGGTTTTTTTTCCCCACATCACATCATCTACGCTGTTGGTAAACTTCAATTTTCAGTATCGGCTGTAAAGAAGAATTTCCCAGTATGGATACATCAGAGCACCCCATTGATTCACCCACGAGAAAGGAGGAAAATCTACAATCCCATTATTGGCAATTTAGAAAAATGAAAGATTTTCCCCACATTTTCCAGAAGTAAAAATGGTGACTTTGGGGGCAGGGCCCTTCCCAAAGAAGATAACAATTAGGGCCCACCAGTCAAACTTGGGTGTCTAAACCTCAGAACCTGAAATCTCTATGTAGCCACTTAAATAAGGTTATAGGAGCCTAAATCCTACTAAACTGGTTAAAACAGGGATTTAGATGACTAACATTAAACTGCCAATTTGCAAATTTGGTCTCAAATACTGCCCTGTGGTGTGCATACATATCTACAACTGGCTTAAAGGAAAGTGTGGATCAGATTAAAGGGAGCTGGGAATTGTGTAAAGAGAAGTGAAAGTTGTGTTTAGAGAAGTATGAATAACATGAAGGGAAGAATGAAGCATCTGGAGAGAAAAAATTAGCTGACTCCTATTTCTAAAGCATTGGCATTAGCTGACCCTGCATATTATTTATTTATAATCCTAAATGTATGAATTCTGTCCTGCTGCAGAAAGGGCAGGGGTGTTTATTGTGAGCAGCTGCAAGTCCTCATTCCTGGGACTGAGCAGAAGCTAAATCATGTGGCCAAATGGTTTCCCTGGAGATTGATTGCCCTGAAAGGGAGCAGAGACAAAGCTCCTTGGGACACAGGACTCATGGAAAGGCTGATGTGGATTTCTGAAGAAGGAAACTTCTCCCTGTTTATTCCTATTGTGTTCAGGGAAATAGGACTTTGTACATTCTTTGTAAATAAACAGGATATCACCAAAGAATATAGCTGATTCTAGCTTCAATTTCTCCTCTTAATGGAAACAACCTGGCAAGAACCCAAATATTGGCTAACTGCTTGGGTCAAGGGACAACATAAACACATTGATGGTAGCTTGAGAAGGATGAGTGTGGCAGAGGATGAAGCTTGCAAAGAACTAAACCACAGTCTTAAACTGAATGCAGAGTGTTCATCTTCTAGTTTGTTCAGGAAAGACAGAGAGCAACATGAATTACACAGTGCTTCAGAAAGATCAGCTTGTGGGTTTGTGCTCACGGAGGGGTCTGTCGCTGGCTGATCATACAAAGGCAGCTGGCGTCTCTGTGGTATGAAGATGACAAGTAGTAGAATGGGGCATTGTCCCCAAACCAGGATCTAGAGGAGGGTCTTGGTTCTCTTGCAGGGTAAACGGGTGAACCAGGAGACAGAGGCCAGGATAGACCAGCAGTGTGGGGAGGCTCTACAGAGGACAAATTCCCAGAGGGAGGCAAGGAGGATGACAACAGGGGTGTATGCAGTGACCAAAGCTGAGACTAGGCCCCATCCAGACCAGGTTTCTCGAATCAACAGGACCTGGAGTGGCAGAAGCTGCAACTGGAGTGGGAAAAGCTGCAGCTTGAGAGAGAAAAGCTGTGACTGGAGGAGAAACGGCTTGCTGCTGGAATCGCCTTATCTTCTACCAGGGAGCAAGAACTCAACAGAAAGAGGCTGTAGCAATGCTGTGGTCTGAGCTAGTGGTTCAGAAACTGTGACCGGGGTCCTAGTGGGGAGCCAGCTGTGGTCACCCAATTAGGGTGAACGGCAAAGAATGGGGCAGCCAAGCCCCAAAAAACTGGTGGATGTTCCAATACCTAGATTCACCAGGCCAGCCTCAAACAGCTTCTTTATTACCTCACTGGTTACTCAGAAGTCCCAACAACACAGTTCCCTTAAAGTGATCCAGCCTCAGGCCTCCATCCAGGTACTCACGTCAAATATGATGACAATTTCTATAAATCTTATTCCATCATATAAAAGAAAAGGTTCAACCAATCCCAAAGGACGGATACATTACCTCCCAGGTTAATGAATGTTTCAGATCTTACCCAAATACACGCTACAGCCAATTCTTATTAACTAAACTAAAATGTATTAAAAAACCAAAGAGAGAGAGAATGGTTAAAAGATCAATGTACATACAGACATGAGTTCAGTTTATTGAGGTTCAGATTCACAGCAGAGATGATGAGCTTTGTAGTTGCAAAGAGTTCCTTTAGAATTCAGTTCATAGGTCAGAGTCCAATGTCCAAATCTCATATTCAGGGCGAACCAACATAACTGGGACCTTAGTCTTGTGACTCAAACTTCCCCTGATGAAGTCTAAGCAGATCTGAGATGACAGAATCAGGACCCAAGGAACTTTTATACAATTTCATGTCCTCTTTGACAAGTTTTGTGCCTCAGGGCACAAAAGGTGATTAGGATGACTTTGAAGGAGATCCATCACCAGGTACTTAGCGATACAAATTAACATAAGGCCATTTGCTTTTTCCTCCCCCATTCACAGTACATTTCAAAGAGAGATGAATACAGAGATATCCCGTGTTTACAATTCATTTAAATATTAGAATACAGCACAGACAGGGACTGTTGAT